GGGAGTGCAACCCCATTCAGGACTAGGTCAAATCCACCCTCTCCGAAGTCCGATCCGCCAACCAACAGGACCTCCGTCTTGTCTGGATTGAGCTTCAGTTTATTGGCCCTCATCCAGCCCATTACCTCGGCCTCACCTGGAGTACGACTGCCTGGCGACAGTGACACACGCTGTCAGTAGGAGGGGTTAAACCACAGACAGATGCTACCCAGTGAATACCTGTGCTGTTTTTCATACTCTTGTTAGTTACAGCATACACTGTATATATGAAGATTGCTAACTACCCAGTTCTATGAGAACTGAAATGAAGGTGTAGAATCAAACATCTTAGTTCTTGTTAAGACAATCTTGCTGTCATTAGGACTTCTCAAAGAAGAAGCACTGGTGGTTTTTTTACCTTCTGTTCGTGGTTTTTTTTTACCACGAACAGAAATTTCAGGAAAAAAGTGCCTCGGTTTGCGAACTCCGCATTGGGTGACGACCACGATCGCAGCTATCTTCCCTGCATGAGTGCACCTGTGATTGTGCCCGTCTTCCCTGCACAAGTGCACCCATCTCCTCCCCCCCAAGCATGATCATGATTGCGGCCATTCCCACCCCCCCAGCACAATTGCTATCGCATGATTATGATTTGGACTCTCCCTCCAAACAATAACCTCCCCCCCACCTAGCTTAGTGTTCTCTACTGGACTGTATTTTGTTACTTCGTTGTTTTTTGTTACTTTGTTTCAAATTTGTGATATAAAAATATTTACACAACAGATTAACCTCATTTTCATTGAACCTTATGGGGAAATTTGGCTTGGTTTGCAACCAATTCAGGTCGCGACTAGACTAGAGTCATGGAACGGATTAAGTTTGTGAGTTGAGGTACCACTGTATATTATTTATCTACCCTATCTTTCTAGTCCAAAATATCATCACAAACTTGCTTAAAATTTTGAATTATAAAAATCTTTCAGACAAGTATGGAAGATCAAGAAGCATGTGTCATGTTGGACAAATATAGGGAACTACCGTATTAGCTGTAGTGCTGTTATTTTCACTGTGGCCATTGAAGACAGATCATAAGATCAGTTTGTTATACAAATTGAGGAAAGCAATTGTTACTTCTATTTGGGAGCATGTGGATCTGAAAGCAAGATCATAAAAGCGATGTGATTAAGCAGGCCTTCAAAAGCTATTTAGTTTTTTAAAATAACTTTCTGGTATGTTAACAAGGCTCCAGTAGGATTTCATTTTTTTAGTTATACTTGCACATTATTGAATGAAAATGCCACTAGCCATATTGGGTTGATTTTTAAGGAATGTTAACTAGTTATTCTTTAAATATCATGTTTAGGCTATCCCTGCATACATTATTAACTCCTTACAAGAATCAGAAGGGATCACTCGTCTAAAGGAAAAATCTGTTTTGCAAGCAGCAGATTTGAAAGCAGCAGAGAATGATACAAGAAACACAGATCGTACAGTAGGAAAGAAGTCAACTATGGCATCTTCCAATCTAAAGGTAAAAATTACTTATCACATTTATTTCTATATTTTAGCTGTTTTCATCTGTATCAGCAATGGTATTTATTTAGTTCCTAGAACTGGATACAGTACTCCAGATGAAATCTCTCCAGGGCCGACTGCCTCGTGTGATTTGGAAGTGATTTTTCTGTTAATGCCACCCAAAATAGCATTTGCCTTCTTTGCACTTGCATCACGTTGTTGAATCATACACAGCTTGTGATCTACAGTGATTCCAAGATCCTTCTCGCTTGCAGTTGTTGAACCAAGCATCCCCCATCTTGTAACTATGCACTTTATTTCTTTTTCTTAAATGCAGAACGGGGCATTTGTTATTAACTTGGCATTAAATGTCCTTCTGTTGTTTTCAGCTCAGCACTCCAGTCTATCAAGATGACTTTGAGTGTTGTTTCTGTCTTCCAGGGTCTTTTGTTTCTGGTACCCTCAGCTATCTCAACCAATTTTGTCTCCTAACCGATACTGGGAAAATTGAATACCTGCTACATCATGTCCTTTTAAAACACTAGCAATGTGCTTTTCAAAAATTTCACCCTCGTCTTCAATAATAGACTCTAACCATCATGTTAGAGTCAGTAGGGGGCTGCTGTCTTTCCTTGTACATGCACATGGTGGGCATGTCATGAGTGGAGCTGGATGGAGCCGGGGGTCAGACCAGATGGCCCAGGAGACCCCTTCTGACTGGCTCTGTTTCTATGTACGTTTTATTTCTTGCTTTGTTTATATTAATCCAGATGCTCTTGATGAGTCTTCTAAGCTCCCCCTCCTGTGCAAAGTCCCTTTTCTGATTCTGTATTGCTGCTCATGTTGTATCAGCCTGGGCTTTCTCCTTTGCCTCTGCCTTTGTAACCTCTTTCACTACAATTCCACTCCCAAACTCCTGTTGACTCTTCCTGTTCACTCACTCTCTGGGAGCTTGCTTACTTGATCAGAATAGTCCCTAGACCAGCTGAGGCAGCTTCCTCTGCTCTGCTCTATTAGGAGTCAGGAAATTGAATGGCTTGAGTCATTTAAGCCCCATCCAGATCACGGTTGGGTGCAATCAGTGCTTCTTCAGGTATGTTCTACTCATGAGCATAGCCTGTTACTGCTACTCATGAGTTCTTATTCTGCAAATGACATCCAGCTGATGCCGAACTTTTAACAGCTGTAATCCCTAGGGCTTGGTGCCTGTCTCAGTCTATGAGGTGGCTAGTTCTGTGATGAGACCTAAAGTCACTTGCTGTTTCCTTAGGGCCCAGAATCCCCATGATCTACCTCATGGACATGGGTTGAACCTCCACAATGTTGAGCTAGGTGGCTCCATCCTTCAAAGGGAGGAAAACAACAGCTTGTTGTGTTTCATATCTTAATTCCTTAAATAATTCTATTTCCTTTTCTTTGTATTGACAGCATAGAATTCCTTTTCTTCAGAGTTGGGTGCTTTTGACTGTATAGAAGGAAGCTCAGAAAGGTCAATTTGCATTAGTTAAGGCATGGCATGTCAGAAAGATCCATGCTTCAATCTTTGCCATGCTGCACCAATTAGAGGTAAATTCAGGGAGTACTCAAATACCAGAGAGGCAGGAGACTATGCGTCCTCCCATAGTGCTTTCGCTACAGCCTTCAGATTTGAAAGGACCAGAGTTTCCAATAAAGGAAACCAAGGGCATGGTGTCTTTGGGAACAAGTTCTAGGGTCAGTTGCTCACCCCATGAAAATTCCCACACAGACCAAAATTTGTGGAGGCACAACCATTACAAGAAAATCAGGCATGGGCAATTTGTGGCTCATGGGTTGGTTGAAGCCCTTAGGGGTTCTTCATTCACTCTACAAGTTCTTCTGAGTCATAGGAAGCTCCCTTATACTTAGACTATTGTTCCATCCAGCCCAGTACAGTCAACCCTGACTTGCACTGATTTAAAAAAAAAATACACACAAACAAAAAACTAACAGAACAAACAAGTGAACAAAATAAACGAAGATGCCAAGGGAATTACGAACAAACGCAGCCCCAGAACCAGATCTCTTCATATCTTCCCATACTCTATCAGAGTTTGCAAAAAAGAAAAAAGAATCATTATTCTATTCAGCAACAGAATTTCTAAACATTCAAACTCAAATGCTTTCCTTTTTCCCTTCCAAACTCCATTAATCATGCTAAACATCCATTAATCATGCTAAGCACGATAAAATATCCATTTGCCATTAAATTCTTCTCACAGTCTAATTACATAACTAGTAAGCTTTGCCATCACTGCATATTCAGCCAATCTTTTTCTCCATTCTTCAATGGCTGGGGGCTCTTGTGATTTCGTTTTGAAGCTATTGTGATTCTTGCTGCCATAGTCACATACTTAACTAACTCTGACATGTATTTTAAAATATGATATTTATTATCATATATTAAAAGCATGATGTGAAGGTATCAATATTCATATCATGGAACAATATTCAAAAAGCATGTTCTTGGGACTCACAGGAAACTTAATTTAAAGATTTTATGCATTTCTGCATATATCAATTTCCAGAATTTTTCTGTTATTTCGCGAGACCACCACATATGATAGAAGGTCTCATTTATCCTGTTACATTTCCAACATTTTACATTATAATTCTTATCTATTTTCCCAATATCTTTTGGAGTAATCTACCACTTAGAAAACCCCTTATACCAATTTTGTTTTAATGTTTGACTAGCAGTGAAATTAATATCTTTCTTCTAAAGAGCTTCCCACTGACCAGATGATATTTCTTCACCAAGATTCAGTTTCCTGATTGTCATGTGTTTCTTATCTTGATGGTTTTCAGTATCATAGTGTAATAACAGTTTGTAAAGTCTTCTCAGTAAGTCATCATTCTGCTGTGTAATCAACATTTCAGAATCTGTCAGATCTCTTAAAATGCCTTTTCCTGGTTGTGTTTCCCCCTTCAGTCTCGAAATCAATTGATGGCAAACAAGCCAATCTCCCCTCTTGACTTATCATTCACTCTGGTTCCCTTTCTGTTGAACCTTGCATTGTTTAAAACTGCTGTGGAATATAATGTGGGTCTTGTTATCGACCATGGATTTTTTATTTTTTTGTGGAGGGGCTATGAACCAAGAAACTTTGCTTTTCCTTCCCCAGAAATTGTTCTGGTCTGGACTGCTAGTGACTTTTAAGGCTGTTCTGTTGCCTTGATCTCCATACCTTAGAGATTTTCAGTGTAGACTCTGTCGTTGGTGTACATGTCTGATTTTAAACTTACTTCCTGAACTAAATTTGCTAAGAGTACTTTTCAGTAGAAGGTGGGGGAGGGGGGAGTTCTCTTCTGTTACAGACCTCTTAGTTTGTCTAGGCTTCGATGTAGCAGCCCCATCAAAGGATCCACTCCGAGAGCAGGCCCTCTGCCTAGCTGCAGCTGCTCTTGACTCTGCACCTTAGTCATGCTCAGCACCTGAGCCTGAGGATCCTGCATTTCTGTTAATTTTGAGGTGCCCCCAATTTGTGGGGCAGAGAAGAATAGATGGGAGAACTAAGCACACTGTTGGATGTTGCCCCTAAGCAGCATCTGTGACACAAAGCAGGTTTACTAATTTAAGTTAATGTGTATCTACAGCCCCTTCTGGGAAAATTTATCTTGGACACCGAAGAGTCTTCTAGGCTTTTTGTTTTCCTTTCCAGAGCCAAAAATCTTTCATGAGCTGCTAATATGTTACAGATAAACAAATAACAAGAAATAATGTTTGAAGTAAATAGTTTTTGTAATTGGTTTCTTAATTCCATTCAAGTAAACTGTTCTGTTTCTTCTTTATGCAGATGCAGAAGTTATATAGGAAGTATTTGAGAGCTGAGAGCTTTAGGAAAGCTCTTGTTTATCAGAAGAAATACCTTCTGCTGCTTCTGGGTGGGTTCCAGGAATGTGAGCAAGCAACGCTGTCACTGATAGCACGCATGGGCATCTATCCTTCTCCTACCAGTCTGAATGTGTCTGAAGCACGGAGCCAGTCCTTTACCAGGTTCAGGTCTGCAGTCAGAGTGGTCATTGCAATATCAAGGTAAGCAAAACTGAGTACTTTTTCTCACAGCTATTGTTACTTTCCAGTTGTTGTCTTTTAGAGTGGGTTCTTGATTTTTTTAAAGGAGATAAAGAAATCCAAATGTGTTATTCATGTATTCTCCAAAGGAAGTGAAGAAGAAATCTGTTCTTCTTAGAGAAACAAGATAAGTGTGTTGAGCAACAATCGTATAAAAATATCTGATCCTGCATTCACTGTAGCAATGTCATGTCACACAGTCTTTAAAATATTTTGCATATTAATTCATGTCTCTCACCATCATTCCACCCCAGGTTAAAGTTTCTGATAAGAAAATGGCATAAAGTAGGAAGGAAAGAGGTGTCATCTGAAGCCAATTCTCCTACCGTTGCATGCAGCACATGTGAGAACTTTTGAAGGAATTCTTTGAATTTGTTACAATTTCTTAAGGATTTTTCTTTATGGACAAACTAAAGTAGTAGATAAGTGAAATTGTTTTTGTAATGAACCAACTGAAAACATTGTCCATATATTATAGGCTTTATTAGTCAGTGATGGTAAGCTTCATAAAAGCATAAACACTGTTTCTGTTCCAATAATCTTATTGCCAAGATAATAAGATTAAAATAGCACCTGAGTGAATTTCAAGGAAGAATCATTTCACTGCTTACTGATAAATGTCTATTAAATGATTGACTTTTTATTGTTGCATTACTGATTCCACCATACATTAGTGTTCGATTAGTTTTTTCAATCCACATATTCATTTCTGCATAATTGAATTATCTTATCCGACCATAGTTTTAATTTCTTTGTTATTATAACTGTTCTCTTCCCTGAGGAAACTCAAATAGATGAAATACTGTATTATTCAATTAAGATCCCAGATCTAGAACAGAGGTAGAAAAGCAGCAACAGCCATTTACAAGTCAGGCTGCTCAAGAAGCTGGATACTGCATCAGAAGCAACCTCATGAGACTTGCAAATTGTTCACCTAAGGCACCATATCACTTGCACAATAGGTTGGTGTAACATTTTTTCATGTATGCTGCCTTTGATACACATGTGGAAACTTTTCCTAACTAATACATAGTTCTACACGAATATATAAAGAATCATTGTTTAACTTAACTGTAAACACACTCAGTTTCCTTTCCTATTAGTTCTGTGTTTCAGCAACATCTTTGTCTGCACCAGCTGTTTTTGTGAAATTTGTATCTGAATGTGCACTGTAAACACTTCACAAAATGTGCGACATTTCCTGTAATTATTGGCCTATTTCGTGTAGCTTTGGTTTACTATTGGTTAACCAAAATCATTAATTTATTTTAAGCATTTCTACCCTATTCTTCAGCCCAGGCTCATAAGGAAGCTTACAAAGACAGTCCCTGCATGGAGGATCACATTCTAACAGACATGACGCAAAAGGAAAAGGGAGGGAAGAAGGGGGCAAAAAAGCAACTTTAGGTGCTGGATTCTTAGTTGCAGAGTTCAGCAGCTCATGTTCTTATTTCTCTGATGCCCTTAAAATGGTTTAAATACTATGGTCATTCATTGTTTTTCTTCTTATTTGCTCCTGGAATCTATGGGGTGTTTATCTCTGGATTTCAATGGCTTTACTTTTTAAATCTCTGCTGTCAGTACTGAAATTTGGAGCCTGGGCAGAGTACCACAACTACTGGCTGGCCCACGAGTCGGGCTAAAGTCACACTAGGAGCAGCTGCATCCATTGCCAGGCACAACTGCCTTGCCATCACTTTAATTGATAGGGGGAGCTGTGGCAAGAGTACGGTCTCTGATACTGACATGTGCTATTTCTGATGCTAACAGCAACCAAATGGCCACCCCTAAATTAAAGCTAGTGGCACCGTAAAGTAGATTTTTGTGTGGAGTACTAAAACTCTGCCATTTTAGACTCAAAAGATTCTTTGTGTGTATCTCTTTCGCACCATTCTTCAGTTGATTAAACCTCAAGGTTTACATAAAAAAATAAATCCAAGAAGCCTGAAGTCTGCCCACCCCTGCTCTAATGCACCATATGAGTTCATTGATATTATTCATAAGATATTTCTCTGGTGATGACATGTGTTTTGTGTCATGTCTGCAATCCCAGACATTTTTATTGTGTTGTCTTTCTGGTGTAATTGCATGACCCCAACTACTTCAAATTCTTTTTTCATCATTAAACTCCAGCAAGTGAGGCAAGGTTATTTGTGCATATATACATCATTTTCTTTTCAACACCTACCTCTTTCCTAACCCCAATAACCCTTAATCTCCAAAGAAGGAGAATATATGAACAGGAGGGGAAAGAGAGACAATTGCATTCCTCTGTATTCAAGAAGCAAGTTTGTGTTGTGAACCATCAAGAGAGCTTTGTGGATTTGTATATCTCTCCATGATCATGCGGATTCTGGACTGATGAAAACTGAAGGAAATAAATATTAATATCAGCACTTGCACTTAGAATTGGACTGGAAACTGACTGGCATCCAGTGCAGATGGTGAAGTACAGGCCTAATATAACATTTGCCTGTCTCTGTTAACAATCCCATTGCCAACCTTTGGACCAGCTGAAGTTTCTGGACCATTTTCAAAGGCAGCCCCCATATAATGCATTCTAGCAAGATGTTACCAAAAGCATAGATGACTGTAATTGTGCTAGCCCTGTCCAGATAAGGACATGGTTGATATGCCAGCCTAAGCTGAAAAACTGAATTCAATGTTGGACCCAAGAGTACACATGAACTACAACCCTGGTCCTTTAGGGGGAGTGCAGCCCCTCCAGAACTGGTCAAATATCACTCATCTAGGGAGGCAAACTGCCTGTGAGTGGTATCTCTGTTTGTTGGCCCAAGCCAGATTCAGAATAGCCATTGCCTTACCTGAATTTGATGAAAAGGTGAGGTGGAGCTAAGTGTCGATGATGATACTTCAATCCATACTCCTGCAAAATCTTATCCAGTGGTTTTGTTTAGATGCTGAACAGCATAAAGGATGAAACAGCCTTGTGGAACATGGTAGTATAGCTGTGAAGAACAATAATCCCCTAGCACCACCTTCTTAAATCAGTCCTCCAAATAGGAAAGTACTGTAGTATAGCCAACTTCCAGTTTAGGCAGCCCATCCAGAAGGATGCTATGGACGATGGTACTGAAAGCTTCCAAGAGGGACTCCTGTCCCTATCCATTCCATCAAGGTTATGCTCCTCCTGTCCCTGTCCTTGCAGAGGTCATCCAACAAGGTGACCAGTGCAATACTCATTCTGATCTAGATAATTTGTTTTATTCAAGAGTCCCTGGCGTAGTCCGGTAACCACCTGGGTGCATATCTTGCCCAGGAAGGGAATGTTGGCTACTGCCCTATAATTATCATGGTGTGGATCCAAGTTAGATTTTTAGGAGTGACCTAATTACTACCTAATTTAAAGAGGGTTTCACTGCTCCCTCTGTCAAGGAGAAATTTGTGATTTCCTGGAGCCCCCTCATAATGAACATAAAGGTTCAAGCAAATGGGTCATCAACCAGATATAGCCAACCACCTTATCCACATCTTCAAAACACTATATCTGAAAGTCATCTAATAAAAAATGGACCAAATGGCTATTTTGGTTCCACCATTCTGTCTTTGACTATACCAACAAGTCAAATCTGAGATTTTTCTCAGATTGGAATTCAACTTTTGAGCTGGAAAAGATCCCCCATATAGAAACATAGTGCCTTGGTTCTCAAATGTTGTACTGCAAGGAATTCATTTGCTCTCAAGAAATAAGTAGCGTGTTTTTGTTCTTTTATGTGACTGATGGCCACCCTATGAATGAAAGCCTTCCAAAACGTCTTGTTCACAACAGCTCCATCCAGCTCTTCCATGTTCAAGATTCTGGCTTCCTGTATAGATTTAGTCCATCTCATATTTGATCTTCTCTTTTGTCTTCTGCCTTCAACTTTCTGTAACATGGTTGTCTTCTCCAGTGAGTCTTGCTTTCTTACATATTGCATCCAATGTATGACAGCCTCAGTTTCGTCAGGTTCAGTCTTGCTTCTAGGGAAAGCTCTGGCTTGGTTTGGTTGCTGCACTATTTTTCATCTTCTTTCTTGGGGATTGGAATGTATATTGAATGTTTCGACTCCATGGGCTATTGTTCTGTTTTCATATTTGGTGCCATATTTTTGTTAGGATTTGGACTGATTGCAGCTTGGAATAGCTCTATTCATATCTTCTCTACTCTGGGTGCTTCATTCCTTTCAGACTAGTTTTCACTTCACTTACTAATATTGCAGGATCCTCCTAATAGGATTTGTCCAGCTTCCTCAAGGACCCTGCCATCCTTTATACTCTCTTGGATAGTCTTTCTCTCTATCTTCTCCTGGTTGGATAGTTGGTCTTCCAGCATTCCTATTCTAGGTTTGAATTTCCCTCTGGTCTCCTGGATATTCAGGAAGAGATCCCTTGTTTTTCTCCTTTTGTTGCTCTCTTCTACTTCTTTGCACTAATAGTTCTTCTTGTCACTATGTGACTGTTGCTGAAAAGTTGCATTCAGGATACTGACCCTGTTACTGTAAACTTTTGGTTTTGTTTCTCACCTGACCTTTGCAACCATGAGTGTTTCCTCTGTCATCCATGTAGAATTTTTATTTCTCATCTTGTCTTTTAGCATTCTTTGATTTCAGTCCACAATTCTAGCTCTGGTCTCTATGTGGACTTGAGATTTTTCGGGGATATTACTTAGAGGCACTATGTTTCTGTTGGCAATCTTTTTAACTTGACTCTGATTTTTGAAATTAAGCTTAACTAACACAATCTGCCCTCTTCCTGTTTTGGCAGCAAGAATACAACTTCTCCACCTTCTGCTTCCACTTGATTTCCATATTTGCTTTCTGTATTTGCCATCTGGTGAAGTCCATCTGTACAATCATTTGAGTGGTTGCTTGAAGTATGAGTTTGCAATAAACTGGTTCTACGAGTCTTTCTCCTGCTTTATTTCTTTCCCCAAGGCTAAATTTCCCTACAACATTTCATTCTGTTCTGTTCTTTTGCATTCCAATCACCTATGATGATCAGCATCTCTTGTTTCGCTGCCTTGTCAATCTCTTCTTGAACACCTGCGTAACATTTTCAATTTCTCATCTTCCAGCACTATCTCTCCATTCATTTTGGATTGTTACATCATACAATTTTCAAGGTAAGAAAATTCAGAAGCAGAATTACCACATGCTGCTTCTACAGAGTGCTAACCAGAGGTTAACTTGTTGTCTGCAAAAGGTCCCCCGCTACTGTTCCTTCAGCTACCACCGCTGCCCAGTTGCTGCCTTTCAGAAGTTTCTCCATACCCATCACCAAGGGTAGATGCATCTTTCTTCTTTATTTATTTATGTGCCATGCTCCACAGCCAAAGCCCTGTCTCTCTTAACTGGTGTCTCAGCCTTGACCATTCTGCCTTGCTAG